AGTTCTTTAACCACATGCCCCAATTGTAGTGCCACATGTCCCAGTTGTAGTGCCACATGTTCCAGTCATAGTGCCACATACCCCACTTGTAGTGCCACATGTCCCAGTCCTAGTGCCACATATCCCAGTCGTAGTGCCACATGCCCCAGCCGTAGTGCCACATGTCCCAGTCATAGTGTCATGTACCCCAGTCATAGTGACACGTACCCCAGTCATAGTGCCACATACCCCAGTCATAGTGCCACATGCCCCAGTCATGGTCATAGCCACATACCCCAGTCATGGTGTACCAGTCATGTTATCCAGTCATGGTGCCACATGTTCCAGTCATGTTGTGTCAAAATCCTGGTGCCCCCCCCCCCCCAAAAAAAAAAAACAGCGATGAATGTAATGAAACGCCATTTTCTGGGTGGGTCTTGGAGGCTCCCCGGAGCTATCCAGGCTGATATGGATACCCTAACTTTGGCATCAGTCAATGTAGGTGAAGTTCTAGGCCTACTGGGCACAATGAGCTAGAACCTGGCCCCCTCAGAGAGGCACGAGGAGCAATGACCTATAGAAATGCACATGTGATTTTGGAGCATTCTATATCTGACAATGACCAGGACAGGCACCCAGAAAGGCAAGCACCCCAAAACAAACCCCTTAATTCTGATTAAAATGACAGAAATAGACAAACAAGTGGACAGAACACCCTAATTGAAAACGAGCAAACAAGTATGACATCACACGAGCCGCGCCGCATGTCTGCATAGCTCTCCCCTCCCTGGGAAGGGGGAGACCCAGAATTCCCATGCCGGTGATCCACCCTGCAGTTCTGAGGCTGGATATCAAAATATGCAAAAACTGCCAACCGGAAGGAGGGATGGTTGCCGGGAACCTCCAGGACCCACCCAGAAAATGGCGTTTCATTACATTCAACGCTGGTTTTCTGGGGGGAGCCCCTACAGCTCCTCGGAGCTACTTCATCAAAGACAAAAAATAAATAAGGGGACTTACCCAGGAGGTGGTCGGTTCTCCATATCTCAACTCGAAGTTGAGACATGCTGCAGCTGCCGACCCAGAGAGACACAAGCTCGATTAGGCCCAGGAACATTACCAAGGTAGCGTGCAGCCAGGACTTTGTTCAACCACCAAAAACCCCATGCCCGAATTTTAGCCCAGGACATGTTACCAAAGACGACAGCAAGAGCAGCAAATTTACGAACATCATGGGCACAGGGATAGACCGCAGGCTAGACTTAATAACCCTGCAGATGTCCTAAGAGATCCATACCCACGAACAGGGAAGAAGGGAAACTGGATTAACCCAAAGCACATCCGCAGATACAGAAGCCGTGGCGCGCAAATAACGGCGGAGAGTCACAATCAGACAACACACGATGCACCCCCGACCCGACCAACCAAGCATCAACAACCCAAGGACCCCTCCAGAAAGCAGAAGTCTCATTCCTTGTTAGAAAAGAATGAGACTGCTGCAGACGAACAAACCTATCACCAAGACCGAAAGAGCAGAAACCCCTGCGCCGTAGGAGAGCATGAAGCTCCCCAACCCGACCCCCAGAGGCCAATGCCAACATGAAAAGAGCCCTCAAAAAACAATCCTGAATTGAAGGGGGCCACAACAAACTGAGGAGAAGAGAGATAGGAGAGAACTCTATCCAAAGATCAGGACGGCTCAGGCAGCATATGACCAGGCCGGAGGTGAAACAATGCACGAGACAGCTTGCGAAATGGTGCAGAAGTAACATCTATACCGAAAGGGGAAGGGGCAAAGGAAACCCACTCCTTGTAACAGTAAGCCCCCTCTGAGGGTCGGGAAACCCAGGCGGGGTCCAACGGGGGCCCAAGACCCCCAAGTCAGCTCCTCCCCAACCCCAGGAACCTCCACATCAGGCCCTGGGGGCGAGTCATCCTCCAAAGCCCTGGCCCCACAAGAAAAAGCCGGGGCGGCCAAAAAAGCAGGCAGAGAGGGGGCCCACTGGTCAGACCCCAGTGCTACGGCTGGAGGAATCGACTCAAATACCTCCGTCACCTACCCGGAAGGGGACAACCCCCAAAACCGCCCGAGTCTCAAAAACCTCTAAATCCTGCCCCAACCCCGAAGCCCTCAGATGCTTGAGAGCCAGAAGATGGGAAAGGGGGGGGGGGACAGAATGAACCACAGCAGGGGAAGAACGAGGGGGCGCGGACTGAACCAAGACCGAAGCGACCAACACCCCCAAGTCCGGGTCCCTATAAGCAAAGCAGCGGGACAGCCTTGGGGCATCCAGGGAAGCAACCTACCTAGCACGTTGCAGCAACCTAAACCTAGCCTGCAATGCGTGAGCTGCCTGCACCTGAATAATGTCATCAGTAGATTGGGTGAATTGAGTCACAAACAAGCAACAATGCTCACAGGACTCCAGGTCGAAGGTGTCACCGACCCAACAGGCAGCATGACGGAGGCAAAAACTATCATTATCATCCTAAGACATGGGGACAGAGCAACCCTCAAACTCGCACAAGGCGAGAGGGGACCCAGGGGTCCATCCATAGGGCCCTGTGTGCCCCCGCGTGGTTTTCTAGGGCCCTTAGACTGGTATCGCTAAGAGTAAGCCCAGGCAAGGTACTGCTAACCAGTGCCCAATGCTACCAAATAAACTGCTAAAGCTGAATCCCTGGGACGTGTCCACTCACGAGGGCGAAGCAGGGGGTACCACCAAAAACAGAAGGTCAAAACCTAATATAACTGGGGGAAGAGACACCAAGGCAGACCCCCCCCCCCCACAGCAGGCAAAAAGAAACAGGAAAGGAAAAGGAAAGAAAAACCTCGCAAGAGGACAACATACCCATTAGGAACAGAGCCAGCCTGTTATAGGTGAAAACTAGCTGCGCAGAACCCCTCCCCCCCTACCAGTGCAAAAACTACCACTTATCCCAAGGTAAACAAGGGCAGAAACCCCCCAAAACACTCGGAGCATTTAATCGCCGAGCAGCAAAAGACCAACAGAGGTAGACCCCAAGGTAACTCGTGGAAGATAACCCCATACCCCAAGGGCGGTACTTACAGGGCATCAGGGAAGGGAACCCTATGTACTTGCAGCCCGAGTACCTGTGAATATTACTCCCAGCTTGCATGCCTCTGTAAGAGCAGTATTGGACCCAAGGCACAGCACAACACAAAGAGTCTGGAGCTGGAGCCAAACGACCATGCCACAATCACATCAGTCGAAGAACTGCAGGGTGGATTGCCAGCACGGGGGTCTTGGGCTCTGTCTTCCCCCTCCCGGGGAGGGGGGAGTTGCGCAGACATTCGGCACGGCTCGGGTGACATCATGCTCATTTGCTCATTTACATTTGGGGAGTTCTGTCCACTCATTTGTTTATTTTTGTCGTTTTCACCAGAATAGGAGTTTGTTTTGGGGCGATTACCTTTCTGGGTGCCTGTCCCCGGTCGATAGCAGATATAGAATTCTCCAACTCCCATGTGCAATTCTATAGGCCATTGCTCCTCGTGCCTCTGGAAGGGACTAGGTTCTGGATCGTGGTCCCCGGTAGGCCTAGAACTCTATTCACACTGAATGATGTCAAAGTTTAGGGATATACATATCAGCCTGGATAGCTCCGGGGAGCCAAAAGGGCTCCCCCCAGAAAAGCTATCTATCACAGTTTTATCAAGTGATCAATATTTGTGTATAACAGCCTACACAAGAATACATCGACAAACATGACAAACATTCTACGGATCATAATAACAGAATGACATGCACTTTACACTACTAATAAAATGGGCTCCGACAACCACCTGATCTCTCTAATGGTAAGTCACGCGTTTGACATCAATTCCCTACGGCCAAAACATGATGGCCTATTTTCTAACACTAGCAGTTAGGTTCAAGCAATTTAGTACATCATTTGTGTAATGTTGTGACAACGCTAGAGGATGGGCTGCAGATAACACTTATTTTGATGGGAAACTATTATGAAATTTCCTATTGTTTATCACACATATGCTTAAACGTCTGTGTCCATATTAATATATACTGTACAATATGCATTTTTAAGTAACTCGTCCAGATGAAGAATAAATACAAAAATAATATTTATATTAAGTGTGTTTGTCACCTGGTAAAACATCATTTATTATCCATGGAATGCTTCTGAATGTTAAAATATATTGACAAATAAACTATCCACTAAATTCATTTGTCATATTGAGTATACATTAAAAGACAAATATATATTTGATCATCCGTTAAAGATCTTTAGTATATTAAATATGGTAGACCATGCTATATTCCAGTAAGAAGTGATAGGCTGGTCCACAGTCATCTCCACCAGTGATGATGGTCCACAGTCATCTCCGCCAGTGATGATGGTCCACAGTTGTCTCCACCAGTGATGATGGTCCACAGTCATCTCCACCAGTGATGATGGTCCACAGTCATCTCCACCAGTGATGATGGTCCACAGTTGTCTCCGCCAGTGATGATGGTCCACAGTTGTCTCCACCAGTGATGATGGTCCACAGTCATCTCCACCAGTGATGATGGTCCACAGTCATCTCCACCAGTGATGATGGTCCACAGTCATCTCCACCAGTGATGATGGTCCACAGTCGTCTCCACCAGTGATGATGGTCCACAGTTGTCTCCGCCAGTGATGATGGTCCACAGTTGTCTCCACCAGTGATGATGGTCCACAGTCGTCTCTACCAGTGATGATGGTCCACAGTCGTCTCCACCAGTGATGATGGTCCACAGTCATCTCCACCAGTGATGATGGTCCACAGTCATCTCCACCAGTGATGATGGTCCACAGTCATCTCCACCAGTGATGATGGTCCACAGTCGTCTCTACCAGTGATGATGGTCCACAGTCATCTCCACCAGTGATGATGGTCCACAGTCGTCTCTACCAGTGATGATGGTCCACAGTCATCTCCACCAGTGATGATGGTCCACAGTCATCTCCACCAGTGATGATGGTCCACAGTCATCTCCACCAGTGATGATGGTCCACAGTCATCTCCACCAGTGATGATGGTCCACAGTCATCTCCACCAGTGATGATGGTCCACAGTCATCTCCACCAGTGATGATGGTCCACAGTCATCTCCACCAGTGATGATGGTCCAATGTCATCTTGGCAAGTGATGCTGATCTGTCATCTCAAAAAGTGATGCTAGCAAATCGTACTGTATTTCTCCTGACAGAAGCCGTTTTACATGAAAAATAAATAGTTTTAATTGTTAAAATATATTGTCATAGCCTAACTCATGGAGTTTGTTACGTTGAATTTCATAAATTTCTTCTGTAGTGAAAGGGTTAATGGAAAAGTATGTATAGAAGACCAATGTAAGAATGATGATGGCCACCAGCATAATATTGAGTAGATAGTTCTCCCAATTTTCTTGGTGTAGGTTGGTCAGCTGGGCGATGTGTTCGTTCATGGCCACTTCTTGTTGCTGCATGAAAAAAATAAGTCATTTTAATACAATACACCAGCATCAAAATTAGCTATACAGTATGTCAATATAAAACACTAACCATCTCATGAGGTCAAAGCAAAAAATCCATCGTTGAATGTAATAAAACGCCATTTTCTGCGTGAGCCCCAAAGGCTCCCTGGAGCTTATCAGGCTAATGTATGTTATATTAGACCGGGACATTAGCTAAGAAGTTCAGACCTACCAGGGACCAGCGTCAGAACCTGGCCCCTTCAGAGAAGTTTCAAGGAGCAATGGCCCTGGAAAACCCCCTTGTGGTTGAGGATTTTCCTTATCTGCCTTCGACCGGGGTTAGGCACCCAGATAGGTAGGCATAACAAAACAAACCCCACATGGTAAGAAACTAAAACAAAAAAAAACGAACAGAGGTAGAAACTCCCTACAATCCCCAAGGAAACAAGCAAACAAGCAAGTATCACACTTTACTGCTGCACCACTTGTCCATGCAGCCCTCCTTCCCCAAGAGGGGAGGGGAGGGGAGGGGCCCGGACCTCACCGCGCCGGCTGCCTAGCACCAGTTCAGAAGCTAAGCTTCAACCAACACGAAAATAATGCCAACCGGTGGGAAGGAGGGTTGCCAGGGAGCCTCTGAGGCTCACCCAGAAAAAAGCGTTTCATTACATTCAATGCTGGTTTTCTGTGGGGAGCCCCTACGGCTCCCTGGAGCTACATACCCAAAAAAAAGGAATATAGGGACTTACCTGGGAGGCGGCTGCCACAAACTCCTCAATGCAAAGTTGAGACCTGCGACCTAAAGCAACACAAGAATGCCCAGGAGCAGGCACGTTCACCAAATAACGGGTGGCCAGAACCTTGTTCGATCTCCAAAATCCATACACCCAAATACGAGCCCAGGACATGTTACCGAATACGGCAGCCAAAGCTACAAACTTCCGAACGTCATGGGCGCGAGGATAGACCGCAAGCTCGCTAGACTGCAGGCTAGCTAGACTCGGGTCTCCCAGGATGACCTGGGAGACCCGAGCCCTAGAACAGGGAACGAGGGAAACCGGATCAACCCAAAGTGCATCCCAACTACCCCAGCCGAGGCGAGAAGGTAATGGCGAAGAGCCGCAACTGGACACAACACATGATGAACCCCCGGCCGAACCAACCAAGCATCAATGACCCAAGGACCCCTCCGGAAAGCAGCCAACTTGTTCTTCGCCAGAAAAGACAGAGAAGGCTGCAAACGTACAAACCTACCCCCAGGACCAAAAGAGCAGAAACCCCTGCGCCGGAGGAGAGCATGAAGCTCCACTACCCGACCCCCAGAGGCCAATGCCAACAAAAACAAGGCTTTGGAAAAATCATGGACCGAAGGGGCCACCACAAACCGAGGAGAGGAAAGTTAAGAGAGCACCCTGTCCAAGGACCAGGATGGCTCAGACGGCGCATGAGCAGGCTAGAAGTGAAACATAGCAAGAGAAAGCTTACGGAATGGGGCGGATGTGACATCCACCCAGAACGCAAGCTGGAGCGGCTCCACCAGTGCCGCACGATACAAGGCGACAGTATTAGGCATCAAATGACGGTCCTGAAAAAAGGCCAAGAAAGAAAGGACAAGGCAACCTGATCCGAAAGAGAAGACAACTTATGAAGAGCAAGAAAATAGCGAAAAGAACGCCAGGAAACTTCATACTGCCACCAAGACGAAGCTCTCAGGTGGGACACCATCAATGAAGCCACCTGATCACTATAGAAATGGTGATACACCAGCGACAAAAAGACCTAAGGCGAAGAGCAGAGGAAAAGGTTGAACCAGCCCCGTACTGAACTGGTCCGGTATGAGGCTGCTGAAAAAGGCGAAGCTCCCCTGCTGAAAAAGGCGGAGCCATGGAAAACACCCCGGGTTTGGACACCGAGCAAACAGCACAAGAAAAGAGGTACAGGTAACCCCACCTCGATCAGTCCTGCCGAAAGGCATCCACTGCAAATGCCTCGCAGTCGGGGAGGGGCGTCACATAAACTGGGAGACACCGAGACCGCGCCGAAACGAAGAGGTCCACATCTGGAACTCCATACGTCTGGCAGATCCAATGAAACAAGTCGTCATCGACCGTCCATTCCATGGAGAGGGAAATGAAGCGAGACAGGCCATCCACCAGGACGTTGGACACTCCCTGGATATGAACCGCACGGAGAGCCAAACCCCAAGAATCCAGCAGATGAGCCACTCGAAGGGACCAACCCTCAAAGAGGCAAGGACAGAAGAGAACCCCTGCTGTTCAGGCAATGAACCGCAGGAAAACAGTCCGAATGGAGCCGGATAGGCGATCTCTGAGCGACCCGAGCCCTCCGAAGCGCAAATCAGACTGCCGCGAATGCCCGAACCGTGCTGTGAGCTCGACGGAAGGATGGACTCCACCGTCCCTGACCGGCCTGGTGAGCACTGGTCATAAAGCCCCACCGCATTGTTCACGACGATGCCTCCGTGAACACATCGAGTGAAGGTTTGGGAAGGCACCAAGGCACCGAACCCCGAAAACCCCGAAGAGAAAGCCGGCAACGCAGCAACTGACACAAGGCCCCCAGAAGACGAACCCAATGATCGCGAGAGAGGCAGAAGGTGCGTCCCCGAAGAGGAAGCCGGCAATGCAGCAACTGACACAAGGCCCCCGGAGGACGAACCCAATGATCATGAGAGAGGCGCAAGGGGTGTCCCCGAAGAAACCAAAACAGATGCCGAAGTCAAGGTTGCCAGGGTCTCCTAGCGAGTAGACCAGCACGGCGAAGTTCAGACTCCCACACAACCGCTCGAGTAACCACCGAGTGACCCGGGACCACCTCAGAAACAGCCAACGGCGAGACCGCAGCCGCACCAACGCCTCTGGACAGAGAGACAAGGAAGCGGTCCAAGAATCCCAAACAAGACCCAACCAGGTCTGAACCTGGGATGGAACCAGATGGGACTTCCTCCAGTTCGCCAGGAACCTGAACCTGGCGAGCTGGGAAAGAACCATATCCCTGGCAAGCAGACAAGCTGACTGACTGGGAGCCCACACCAGCCAGTCATCGAGCTAGGCCAAAACCCGAATCCCTAGCAGACGCAGACGGGTCACCACAACCCGGGTCAGACGTGTGAAAACGCGAGATGCCAGATTCAAGCCAAAGACAGGCAACAAAAGTGGTAAGCCTGATGCCCAACCACGAAACCTAACCTGTCCCTGAACCCCGGATGAATAGGAACATGCCAATAAGCATCCTTGAGGTTCAGGGACACCATCCAGGCACCTGGCTCCAACAGAAGCCGGATCTGAGACAGAGTAGTCATCCGAAAGGAGGGGGCAAGGAATCCAGGGGTTCAGACGGAACAAGTCCAGAATGAACCTCAGATCCGCACAGTCCCGTTTCAGCACTGGAAACAGGCGGAAAACCCACCTGAGGGACGGGGTCATTTCGACCACACCCAAGCGCACCTACTTCAAGATACTTGATGAAGCACAGGGGAAGCAGCCTGCCCTGTTAGCCTCGAACCCCCGAAAGGAGGACGAGCCGCCCAACACCACCGCAGGCCGGAGGACACGACCGAAAGGCCCACAAAGTTTGGAACCAAGCGTGGGCAAACAGAGTGAGCCTTCCCCCCATCACCCCTTCAATGGGGTGAACTGTGAAAGGGCCGACGCCCTTTACGAGAAACCATACGTCGAACAAGGCAATCACAGCATCAACCAGACGACGCCGGCACCAAAGGCAACGTCGGCTCAGAAACTGGCACCAATGGCCCACCTCGACCAGCGAAACCCTGAACTCTGGCTCGACCCCTCTGAGATGGCCAAGAATGACCGTCCCAGAGAACCAACAAATCCAACATAGAACGGCAACTAGATGAAGTCGCTTGCAGAAACTGCGAGACCACAGCCTCTGCAAACAACAACGGACAAAATGGAGACGAAAACCTAAGAGCCAGGGCCCAAGCGAATTCCAAAGAGAGGGAGAGCACAGCCTGATGGCACGCAAGGCGAGAAGCAAAAAACAGAGACACCGCCTCCTTCAGGATGGGCGCAAAGAGCTTCAACAGTGCAGCCGATGCCCTAGCTGCCGAAGTCAGCATCCCAGACAAAAGCCCATCACTCAACGCTTTCACATCCTCCTCAAGCCAGGCAGAAGATAGCTTGAGAGGGGAAAATATATGTAAGACCGAAGTCAAATGCCCACAGGCGCCCAAATCCTCCACAACCAACGATGCCGAAAAAAGCAGAAAAGATGAGGAACGATGCGGAAAAGCAGACAAGAAGGGGGTCTGCTGGTTGGACCCATAGAAACCCCTGTGTGGTTGGAAGCATTCTATGTCTGCCATTGATTGGGTCAGGTACCCAGAAAGGTAGGCACCCAAAAACAAACCCTATCTGGCGGCCACCAATGGGCCAACAGGACTACTCTTCCTTGGTAAATCTCCAAGTGATCCAGGACCTGGAGCAACAGTGAAACCAGGAGGGGAAGAGGTACAGGTAACCCCACCTTGACCAGTCCAGCCTGAAGGCATTGACCCCCGATGGCCTTGCTGTCAGGAAAGGGCGTCACATAATTCGAGTGATATCTCGACCATGCCGACATAATAAGGTCCACCTCCAGGAGCCCGTATGTCTGGCAGAGCCAATTATAAATGAGTCAGCATCAACTGTCCATTCCGTGGACAAGGAAATGAACTGAGACACACCATCCGCCAGAATGTTGGACACCTCCCAAACGTAAACAGCCAGGAGAGAGCCAAACCCAGAGAGTTCAGCAGATGAGTCACCCAAAGTGACTAGCCCTAAAGAGGCAAGGACCGCATCGAACCCCTACGGTTCAGGCAATGAACCACAATGGAGTAGGTCGAATGGAGCCAGATCGTCGATCCGCAAGAGACCTGAAACTTATGAAGTGATATCCACACTGCCGTTAACTACCACACCATGTTCTGGGCCTGACGGAAGGACGGATCACACCACCCTCGGCCAGCTTGGTGACCATTT